AGGTCACGTCCCAAGGTCCAGGAGGGCCCAACCATCACACCAAGGTTGCAGAGGCCCTAAATTACTAACAGAACCCCAGAGGCAGGATTTGCCAAACTCACACACTTACCTCCCTAAGCCACGTATTTTGTACACATCTTCTCACTACTGGGCAGTGGAGTGTCTGCTTCAGATCCCCTGGGACATCTGTGAAAATGCAGACCCCTCCATCCAACCCACACGGCAGGTAGGGTGCAGCTCAGCAATGTCACTTCTGGCCAGTACCCCAGGAATTACTGCTTTTGTCCAGCCCTCCCTCCTTTATAGGTGGGGAAACTGAGGCCTGGGTGGTACTTTTTCCCAGAATGCTTAGAAGAGTTAGGAATAGAACACAAATTCCCTTCCTCCAGCCCACAGTGACTTTTTTTTTTTTTTTAAGAAGGTCATGCCTCAAACTCACGGTGAGCTGGGTGTGGTGACCCATCCCTGTAATCCCAGCACGCAAGAGGCTGAGGCAGGAGGATCACTGCAAGTTTGAGAACACCTGGGGTTACAAAGTGAGCTCAAGGCCAGCCTGAAATGCATAGCAAGACCCTATCTCAAAAAGAAAAAAACAAACAAGACCTCAAGGTGATCCTCCAGCCTCAACCTCCTGAGTGCTGGGATTGCAGGTGTGTGCCACCACGCCCAGCTATACGGTGACCAATCTGGATAGAAAATGCAGGGCAAAGAGAGACCCTAGAAGTCAGCCTGCTATGGAGACGATGGGGACACTGGCCTGCTCACAAGAGCTGTGATCTCGGTCTCTAGTTGAGGCTCACATTCCCGTGGGAGGCAAAAAAGGAGCAGCTCCACCCTCACCCCTCACCCCCCACCCACCCCCACCAACACCATAGCTCTTTCCAGGAGCCCCAGGGAAGGGGATACATCACTACTTACAGACCGTGTGGCTTATATAGGTCGCCAGAGCAAATACAGGACAAATCATTGAGTTACTGTAAGTATAGCCCATGCATACTATTATTTTTCTGTAATTCCAGTTGGACTAGCAGCCTGTAATTGTATTTATTAAAGCTGGTGCCCTGGACCAGTGATCGAGTCACTTCGCCTCTCTGTGGGGGGATTCCAGGAGCTGTGATGGGCAGTTGAGGGGAAGCTCTGAGGTGGGGCTCCCTCTGCCACTCTCCTGTAACTCTCAGGAGCTGGCATGATGCCAGCCCTCTGGGTGCCCCGTTCTCAGGCTGTGGGGCTCTCACAGCCCTGCGGACCCAGGGCCAGCCCTCCCGAGGTGGAGAGCCTCCTCCGCGCTGGCGCCCTCTGCTGGCTGTTTGTTCTCCAAATTCTCCTGATAATCTTTTCACATCTCTCCTGCCGGCTGGTGTGGTGGCTTCCCGGAGATGTAGATGGAAACTTCTCCCTGAGCAGCTCACCTGGTGCCTCCCAGCGTGCCACTTCCTGCTGGGCATCCAGGATGCCACCCTCCAGCCCAGACAAAGGACAGGGTGAGCAGGGCTTTATTTCCTCCCATTTCTCTTCCCCTAAAGAAATCGCTTTTGCCCCATCTTCTTTTTTACATTTTCTTTTCTAAACTCCTCAGCGGTCACCAAGCGCTGGGCTTCTGATTGGCAGGCGGGAGAAGGAGACAGACGTTACTGCCGTCGGGGGACGGAGGTTGGCATGGACCCTCTGCACCCCTCACGGTGCCAGCGCCACAGCTGAGAACTGCGCACACACGGGCACAGGCGCGGCAGGCAGAGGACTCGCACCAGAGAGCTCTCCGCAGCTCTCCCCCCGGGGCGGCTGGACAAACGAGGGTGATCTTTGCGCACAAGGCACGCCACTCACAGTACACACCAAAGCGACACATGCGACCGTGCAGACCGTGTCACGAGCGTGCTCATCAGAGGAAGCCAAGGGGAGCCAAACAGCAACACCGTTTGACTCCATTTAGATGCGGTTCCAGCACAGCGCAGGCAAAAGCAGCGGATGGGCGTGCAGAAGGGAGCACTGCCGGGGAGGAGGGGCTCGGGCCACTTGCCGGATGCCAATCAGATGCAGGGGGGCGGGGCAATGTGCAGCTGGGCCTGGAGACCTGCGGGGTTTACTGGATGCAAATTATACCTCCATTTCTCTCTCTCTTCCTTCCTTCCTTCCTTCTTCCTTCCTTCCTTTCTTCCTTCCTTCCTTCCTTCCTTCCTTCCTTCCTTCCTTCCTTCCTCTCTCTGTCTCTCTCTTCCTCTCTTTCTTTCTTTCCCTGTGTGCTATCCGGGATGGAACCCAGGGCCTCGAGCATGCTAAGCAAGTGCTCTACCCCTAAGATAGACTCCCCCGGCCCCATCAACTTTTTAAAAATAAAATAAGAGCTATAAGACTCTCAGGGTCCCGTTGTATATACCTTCGACTACCAGCACCTTGCCTAATAAGATTCAAAGAACTAGAAATAGCATTAAAATAGGGTAAGGGTAGAATTCCTCAGCCTAGACCCTCCTAGGAGCCTGTGTCTGGAATGAACAAGGACCAAGGAGAGACCTGTTGTCCTCAAGTTGACCTCAGCTTAGGGGTCCCTTGTTGATCCAAATAGCTTTGTACTGAGTGAGTCGCTGTCTCCACAGATTTAATTCCTTTGTGTCTGTGTTGGGATAGGGGGTGATTAACATTAGCCAATTGGTTCTCGGCTGAACAAGATGTGTATTCTATCTGCCTTTTTTTTTTTTTTGTACCAGGAATTGAACTCAGGACCTTGCACTTGCCAGGTAGGCGCTTGTGCTGCGGAGCTATATCCCCAGCCCCTAAAATGTGTAATCTAATGTCATAGCCTAAAGAGACAGCATTGGACTATGCAAAATGGCAATATGGCCTCCAACGTGGCACTGTCCTAAGATTATTTCCCCAGTGACATTTTTTTTTCCATACTGGGGATTGAACCCAGACCCTCACCCATGCTAGGCAAGCGCTCCTCCCCTGAGCCACACCTCCACACCAGCGGTAAATTTGACTATATACGCAACATTTGCCTCATATGCTGATTTTGGAAACCAATCCCTGATTGAGATGTGACTACCATAAAGAAGTCGAATCATTTAAAATAATAATATTTTGATTCTTTCTTAGATCCCTGAATCCACTCTCATACTGGACCGTATGGATAGTGGCTCAGTTTAAGGGTTTAAGGGTTTCCTTCTATCCCTGTACCCCCTGCCTCCCCTGTAGGAGGGGTTGGGGAGAAATGGGACAGTGTGCCCCGCCCCCACCTGCGAGCGGGAGGTGTCCCTGTGACATTCCCAGGGCACTGCTGACCTACTTACTATTCACACTAATGATATGAGCACTGCTATCGATGCCTCTCCTTCCTGGGGAGTGTTTGTACCCTTGCATCAGCCTGATAAGAAAAATCATCCAACACTTGGAAATAAGGCAAATAGATAACTGGTGTCCTTTCAAAGTCAAGTTCGTGCTGTATCTAATGAGCCCTCTTAGGGGTCATCTGACACTCTGGGGGAATGTCACTTTGCTGGACCTATTATTTACTATTGATTAGGCCCCAGACTGTAAAGGTAGCTGTTAACCAGGAGAAAACTGATAAGTTGCAAATTATTTTTGTCTAATAGCCACACAAATGATCTCTTTCTGTTAGAGACAATAATTCCAACTTTATGTTTTTGTTGCCCTATAGAGCATTAACCAGGTTTGTATTTAACTTTAGTAGTTGTAGGAATATTGCAGAATTATTCTTGTGATTGTTTTAAACAAATTTCTCTTCTGTCTTTGTTTTAAACAAATTTCTCTCTCTTCTGTCTTTCTCTCTACATAGGTGTCTGTAAAAGGTTTTTATATCTGTCCCTTTCTGTGTGATCTTGGGCAAGCTTCTCTATGTGTAGTCCTTAATTGCTTCATTAATAAAATCAGGGAGGTTGGACCAACACTTCAGGTCTTAACATGTCGTGTTTCCAACTCTTCTTGCAGGGAATCATGGCTGACATGATGGAAGATGGACTCTAGAAGGGTTTTTGGAGGCTATTGGGCATCATTCCTGCCTCCCATCTGCTCTCCATCTTGGCAGATGGAGAAAGAGAGGCTCAGAGAGGTTAAGTAACTTACAGAAGGTCACACAGGCATTGTTCATAGCGGTAAATTTTCTCAGTATGGTATCTAATAGTATAAACTTCCTCACAAGTTCCTAGAATCCTATACTAAGCTAGTAAGGAGACTGACGTGGGGGTATTACCCCCACATTACAGATAGGGAAGCTGAGGTCCAAGTTGCATGCTGAATTGTGCGTGAGATTCCCACTCTACTAATTTCCTGGAGGGGGTAGCAGGAGGGTCTCTGGGCTCCACCCTTCAACTAACACCACCCATTTCTGACTGGTTGATAAAGGCAAAATCTTGGGGAGGGGAATTCTCGTGGGAAAAAGCAAAGCTATGGTCATATGTTGGTCTCCAGTTTGGGGGAGACAGAGTCATCATATAAAGAGAAGAACTGTTCCCAGGCTCCACGCAGGCTGTGGCAAAGTGAAGGTGCCTCCAGGTGATGAGCTCCCCGTAGGTGAGAGTGAGTAAGGCTGGGTGACCCGTTCAAACATTAACAGCAGTCATCTCAGGACAACAGATGGCTCAGCACACACCATGTGTTCACCAGGTGTTTTGCACGTGTGTGTCATTAGATTAGACTCACCAACACGGTAAGATCTGTTATTCCCAACTCACAGATAAGGAAACCGAGGGCCCCACAGGTTAAGTAACTTCCCCATGACAAGGCGAGTTGGACTCTAATTGCTGTTTGTCTTTCTCCTTCCCAGAGTGTACTTCTCCCATTTTTGCATTTTCCAAACTTTTGCCAGGAAACATGTGCTGTTTCATGATCTTGCAGAAAGCCTGCGTGGTACTGATTTTGAAAGTGATTCCTTCCGCCCTGATGTTCTTTTTGCCTCTGGACCCTGCAGCCCCACCCACCCCCGCCCTGCCCCCACCGCAACCGGAGTCCTGTCTGACGTCCCATCCTAATTTTGCTGAGATCTGCTCGAAAGTTCCGTGGGTGAGTTCTGTTCCGGGGGCCCAAGCACAGAAGAGGAAGGACAAGCGGGAAGGGATGTGAAACTTGGCCTGGCCACAGCTGCAGCACCCCCGCTGGGCTTCCCACCCGGCTCCCCAGGCCGAGGACGGGAGCATCCAGTTGGAGTGGACACCGGACGCAGGTGAGGCCAGAGCCTGGGAGGAGGGGTTTGGGAACTGGGACGCTGACCGGGGCTGGCCCACTGAGGCAGGCAGGCAGGCAGGGAGCGTGCTGGCCGGTTCTGAGCTAGGACAGAGCGGGGGTGGGAACTCCATGTGTGGTGGAGCCAGGATGGGTGAGTGAAGGGGTCAGAGCCCGGGATCAGAGCCTGGCAGAGGACGGAGGTGGTGACATGCACCTAAAGCTCCAACTGGAGTCCTGGTAGAGGGCTGGGGGGCCAGGGCCCAGCAGTGGGACCCACAGAGGGGACCGTGAGGATAACCAGTGTCCATCCCTGGCTGGAGACTGGAAAAGGCCCAGCCTGCCCAGGAGCAGGCAGACGTGTCTGAATTCCTGTGCGCACGCAGGGATCCGCTATCTGGCTGAGAGCATGTTAATTAAATAAGGAGCGGGTGCTTGATAAATATTTGTTCACAGAGATCGATGGTGTGTGGGAGTGTATGAGAGTGTGTTGGCGGAGGGAGGAGGGGAGGGTGTGTGTGTGTTCAGGAGTGTGCACACCTGCTGTGTGTGCTCAGGGGTGTAACTGGCTGGGGGTGCCCAGGGCCATGAGTGTTCTGTGTGAGTTTCCATCCCCGGTGAGGGGGCCCTGGGTGCTGGACCATGCTGTCGAAGGCTCCTGTGTGTACACAACCTGGGGGAGGGGCAGGTGTGTGATGCGAGTGTGCAAGGTTATGTGACCTTCAGGCTGCCCAGGTCCTGCCTGTGTCTTTGCAGGGACATCATGTCTCCCGGGGGATGGCTGGTTGTCTGCATGCTGGCTGTATCCCTGGCCTCTACGGTGACCGAGGATGTGTGTCGAGCACCCAATGGGAAAGATGGGGTTGCAGGAAAACCAGGACGACCCGGGAGGTCTGGCCTCAAGGGGGAGCGGGGAGAGCCAGGTAGGAACCTTCTGGAGGGCCCCAGGCCCAGCCAGCCTCCACCTGGTCCTGGGAGGCAGGGGCCCACCCAGCCCCCACCCAAAGCCCTTCTAGTCTGCACCTGGCCCTCAGGCCGAGAGGTCCAGCCTTCTCCGCCGTGGCCCAGCCCCCAGCCCCTTCACACCCCTCTTCCTCCTCTGGAGAATGAGCTGCTTCCCTCGGTGACTGTGAAAGGCTGGAGACAGCATTCAGCCTGTGCTCTGTGTTCTGTTAGCAGAAAGGCAAAGGCCTCAGATTTTAGACTCCTGAGCTCCTGCCTTACTGGGGGACCTCAAGCACATTACTGACCTTCTGCAAATCTCAGTCTCCTCATCTGTAAAATGGAGACCTAACCCTGCCTGGCATGAGAGGGATCAATGAACTGCAACCATCTTTTGGGTTTCTTTCAGCACCCCAACACTGTTCCCACTTCCCCTTCCCTGCCCTTTTAGGCTTCAGAAACTGTCTCATCCTAGGAAAAGGGCTTGGGTGATGGCAGCGGGAAGAGCTTATGGCCGGAGGAGGACGACTCTCCTGTCATCCCCTGCCCTCCCGGGCCACAGCAAACCAGAAGTTTCTGCAGAGATGGTTGCACTGATTTGTGCCCAGGCACCGGCATGAGGTCCCTAAGCCTGAAGATGAAGGGTGGGTGGAGTGCACAGCCAGTGGCAGGATCACAGCTGGGGTCCTGGGTACCCCACCACCTAATGCTCTCCAAGTGCCTTTTCACATGCTGTCCATGTTACAGGTGAAGCAGAGGCTCAGAGAGGTTGAGAAACGTGGCTGAGGTCACACAGCCAGTCAGACCCGATCTCTCTCTGTCCTAGGGATTCCCCTGCCTGCCATCACACAGCCCTTGGGCTCCCAGCCCCTCCCTGAGGCCTGGCGGGCTCTGGATGCCCCCCTCCCATCTGATCTCTTTCTCCACAGGAGCCCCTGGCATCCGGACAGGCATCCGAGGCCCTAAAGGAGACCAGGGGGAGCCCGGGCCTCCTGGGAGACCAGGCAATGTGGGCTACCCAGGGCCCAGCGGCCTCCCAGGGCTACCAGGTCCCTCAGGACCAAGGGGCACGAAGGGCAGTCCAGGCAACATCAGGGACCAGCCGCGGCCAGCCTTCTCGGCCATTAGACGGAACCCCCCGCGGAGCACCAGCAATGTGGTGCTCTTCGACGAGGTCATCACCAACCAGGAAGGGCCCTACAATAATAACACGGGCCAGTTCCTCTGCACCGTGCCCGGCTTCTACTACTTCACCTTCCAAATGGTCTCCACGGGCGACACCTGCCTGACCATCGTGTCCTCCTCCCACGGCCAGCGCCGCCAGTCCCCGGGCTTCTGCGACACCAGTAACAAAGGCCTCTTCCAGATATCAGGGGGCACCTCGCTCCAGCTGCAGCAGGGCGACAAGGTTTGGATAGAGAAGGATCCCTTTAAGGGAAACATCTACCAGGGCACTGAAGTCGACAGTATCTTCAGCGGCTTCCTCATTTTCCCGTCTGTCTGAGCTGGGGGTTGCCTCCTGCCACTGCTGCCACTGCTCCTGCCACCGCGCTGGCCTCCCCACTCCCCACCTGGGGCCCCAGCTCACTCCCCCTTCCTGGGATCCTCTGCTCTACAAAATGGGGGGCTACTGCTCTAGCCACCTGAGTCCGGGATCTGGCTCCCATGTCTCTGGGACCGGGCACCAGGGCGCCCTCCGAGCACATCCTTACAGCCCTCCCTGGAATAAACGCCCACGTCTCTATCTTCTGCCTTTGAGGTGCACTTGCTAGTTGGGGCATCGGGCAGGAGGTGTGAGGGAAGCGCTGCTGGTGCCTAAGGGGTCCCTCGGCCTTGGCATTCCACATGACGCAGTCAGCAGGTACCCAGAGCCTTACATCCCCAGCTCAAATCTAGATGTCACCAGCGAGCAGCTGGCTGACCCTGTGCCTCCGGGATGACTGCTGTGATGTCGGTGCTCACATCTGCATAGCGGAGCTAATAATGACACCTGCCTCCTGGGGTCGCCAGGGGAAATAAATGACTGAGTGTGTGAAAACGGCAGGCCAGGGCCAGGGGCAGGGCTGCGGGTGGCTGAGCTCTCCTCAAGCTCACAGGCGGTATCGTGACTCCTTTCAGATGATAAGGCCGAGGCCATGTCAGGAGGGCCAGGAGGCACCAGGCCAGTGTCTCAGGAGGGCCTTACTGTCCCCAAGCCTGTTGTAACCAGTACCCTCGCCAGCCTCTGCAGCTGTGCTTGGCAAGTCACTCAGGTGTTTTCCAATGCTGGCTAAGAAAGGGCAGGAGTCAGAGAGGGGAAGGGACTGGCCCGAGGGCGTCCAGCAGTCCTCCCCTGGGGAGCGCGAAGCCTGGGGCTGCTGGGTCAGTGGCCTCCTGGCATCTGGCTCAGGCCAGGAACTGGAGGATCCTGGATATAGTCACGTGCTTCCCCGGGATCCCACTTGTCCCATCTGGAAGCCCCTCCGAAGCCACAAGCCCTGCCTGTCCTTCGTGCACGGAACACGAGACAGGAGGTCCGCGCTGAAAATGTCCGGCGTCCTGTGCCTTTATCTTTGTGCCGCACACACACACAACCATGCCACTCACACAACCACACACCACTCGCACACACCCCTCCCTCGAGAGTCACACGGTCCCACATTCCAGGGCTGAGGCTCATCCGTGCCCCACAAAAACTTGGGCCCAGCGACATCTCCACACACACCTATGTGCACCCTTGGAAATACACACTCGCTACACCTCCGGACACGCGCACACTCACACGCATTTGGGAAGGCACAGCCGGCATACCACCGCCTGCCCTAGACGCCCAAGGTGCATTTGTGAACCGTCTGGCTCATGAGCTCTCTCACTCGGACCACACACGGCACGCGTCCATACGCAGCTCCTGAGACCCGTGTGCTCGACACCATAGACCCCAGGGTGCTCTCCCTCACACTCTAACATGCACAAGCCCTAGAGACCCTGTGTTCTCTCCAGCACTGACACCACATGCTCCACTCCCAGGGGGCCATCCCCAGGCACACAGGGACAGCCCCCATCCTGGACCCTAACACGCACAGCTCACAGCCCACCCTTGTCCCTGCCCCACCCCTCCTCCCACCCGGCCAAGAGACTCTGGGGTCAGGAAGAGGTGAAGGGCCCGGGGGAGAGCGCAGCTCCACAGCCCAGGGCGTTGCGGGTCCTCACAGCCCCTCGGCTCCCTTCTGGAACAGCTCGGCCCCAGCAGCCCCTGTGCTTCCAGAGCACACGCAGCCAGACCTGCGATGCTCACTGTGAGAGGGACCCCAGTGCGCCACAGATGCGCTGAAACCCAGCAGGACGGACGCTGAGGCTCCGAGAAGAGACGCCCGTGCAAGGTCGCGCTGCAGGACACACACGTGGAGCAGGGCTGCCTGGCCCCAAGAGGAGCCGCCTTTCACTGCGATGGGATTTGAGGGCAAAGGCTCCCTAAGCGGCAGGAGAGATGTGGGTATAGAGATGGTTCAGGAAGTGCCTAGCTGCCTCCTCACCCTAAATGCCACCCCCCTCCACCTTCCCTTGCCCAGTCCTGGCAGGAGCCGGCACGGGTGGGCGGGGCGGGAAGGGCTGAGTGTGGGTCAAGGCTGCCACCTGCTGGACAAACTAGGCCTAGGCACGAAAGAGGCGAGGACCAAGGAGCAAGCCCCTCTGTCATTCGTGGGTCATCCCCAGTCCTTCGTGCAGCGTCCTCCGCCTCTGCTCTTCCCGTCACTCCCCACCACCCCGAGGATGCCCAAGACCAAGGGCATTCACGTCCTTGCCTCGTCCCACACTCCGCAGCCCCGCCACAGGTGCTGGTATAGACGGGGAGACCGAGCCCTGAGGGCCACTTGGCCAGGGCAGGAGGACCCTGAGCTCCTGCTGGGCACAGTGCGTGTCTCACACCCCCGTCCTGCTGTGCTGTGTGAGGGGCTCGGGGTGGTCAAACCACTCCCCGGAGTTCAGAGAGCGGAAGGGACACTGACACGTGGCGCCCGGGGCCCTCAGTGCAAGGGGAAGGCCAGAGGCCACAGGGGCAGTGACAAGGGGGAGGCTGGGCTGCGAGGAGAAGCTGAGCCGTCCGGGTGTCCCGGAGTGGCCACGCAGATGTTTCTAGAATGGGGCCTGCCCTTGGCAGTGCTCGTGAGGCTCTGTCTGGGGTCGGCTGAGCAGGGGGCCCCCGCGAGGCTTTGGCTTTCACTGTGGACTGGGAGAGAGAGCTGACACCTCCCCGAGCCTCAGTTTCCTCACCTCTAAAGGGGGATTGTAACCTTCTCCCACGGAGGCCTCAGGAACAGTGCCTGCCATAGTCAGGGCTGGGCGTTAGGTGGGCCCCACCTGACTTCAGGGACATCTGTTTCCTGCGGCTGTGTCCACTCACACACACACGCACACACACACACGCACACACATGTGCACGCGCGCATGCGCACACACACACACACGCACAGCAGGCAGCGGACATTTCCCCATCTCAGACTCGTGACCAGGGCGGGAGTAGGCAGGGGTGGACAGGGTGTTGCTGTGGTCAGCCTGGCTCAGAACCCCAAAAAGTGTCGAGTCAGGGAAACGGCGGGAAAGGGGATGTGGGATGGGGAGCAGCGGGGGAGGGGTGCCCAGCCCCGCTCCGGGAAAGCCTCACTCTGTCCACTCTGACACGGTGTCCTCCTGCCGGGACAGGGGACGCAGAGCCGAGGACATTGCGGCCACCAAGACAGAAGCCCCCATACCCAGGTGAGGCCGGGACTCTGCCCAGGTGTGGGAAAGGGGCAATTTCTGCCTGCCCCCTTCCTGAACTGCGGCAAGGACTACCACCCACCCTCGCAGGGGCCAAGGCTGCAGGAAGTGGGGTCCAGGGGCTGTGAGGAGGCCAGGACGGGGTGGTGGGGAGGGAAACAGGGAGGGACTGGGGGTTAACTGCACACTCTGCCCCCAGCTCCCTCCCCAGGATGGATGTGGGGCTCCCCCTTGGGCTCCACCTGCTGCTGCTCCTGCTGGCGGTGCCCCTCAGGGGCCAGACCAGCCCAGGCTGCTACGGGATCCCAGGGATACCAGGCCTGCCGGGGACACCTGGCAAGGACGGTCACGATGGGCTGCAGGGGCCCAAGGGTGAGCCAGGTGAGTCTGTGGCCGAGGGTGGGGATGGCGAGGGCCCGAGTGTCCATCTGTGGGTCAGAAGACAGCGATTCAGAGGCAGGAAGTGCAGAGTCCCCCTCTCGGTGTGGGGCTGGCACCTCTGTCCTCAGAGCCTCCCCAGCCGACCTGAGCTGCTGCACCCCTTCCTTCCTCTGTCACTGTCACCGGGGCAGCGTGGGAGCCCAGGTCCCAGCAGGTGGCCAGAGGCTCCCAGGAGGCAGCTCAGGGAAAGCCAACTCTAAAGCTTCCTGTAACTATTGTGTTCCAACCTCTGGGCAAGCGCCCTGCTGACACTATGACATAGATGTACCCAGCACATGTTGACCAGAGTCAGCCCTGGCCCCACCACTGCCCTCATAAGAACTCCCACAAGCCACTAACCTTGAAGTGCCTCAGTTTCCCCATCTGTGAAATGGGGACATCCCAGGGCCTGTCTCAGGGGTGCCGTGAGGATGAAATGTGTGTGACTGTGGTGGTGCTGAGCGCCTGGCCTCCACTGTCCAGGTGAAGGGCACAGGTGTCACTGTCTTGCAGAGTCTGGGTCCAGCTCTCTCCCCAGGGGTTGAGGGTTAGGGAAGGGACTTGGAAGCAGAGTGTCCTGCAGGGGTCCCAGGAGAGCTCCCATGGCGGGTTAGGGGCTGAGGATGGAGGGCGCTGTGTTGAGGCTGACATAGTCCAAAACCCAGGCTTCTGGATCCTGACCCACACACTTAACCCCTAAGCTGTAGAAGGACTCTGCAGTCATCCAGCCCCGTGCAGGGCAGAGGCAGACAGGAGCCATGAGGCCAATGAGCTGCGGGGGTTGTGGGGGCAGGGGAGCAACCTGAAAGAGGAGACTGGAGTCGAAGTCAAAGATGGGAGGGGCTTGGAGAAGGAGGACGGACTATCCCAGAGGTGCAGCTGTCAGGGCTGCAGCAGAGTCGTACGCTCTGACTAGGATTTGGCCCAATCTGAATATTACCTCCACCTCGTCCCAGCTGGGTGGCTTTGGGCCAGTGTCTGGCCTCAGCTTCCTCATCTGTGACCTCAGGGAAGTTGAACCAGGACAGTGGTCCCAAGGGCGGAGGTGGACTGAGGTGAACTGGGGCAACTGGAGGAATCTGCACCGCATGGGGGTGGGAGGGGGGCTTCTGCTTAGGCCCACGCAGCCGCTCCTGGACAGACGCTACCATAGGCTAGGGCTGTCACAGGTGTGCAAAGGTGTGCAGGACCCGAAGGTTGTAAGAGGATCCTGAGCAAAAGAACACAAAACGTCTGATCTTGATCACAGAGATGGTGTGGTTACACAAATCTACACATGTGATAAGCTTGTGTTAGAAACACACACACACACACACACACACCCCTTGCCAAATCTGAGTAAGCTCTGTGGACTCTGTGAATCTCAGGTTCGTAGTTTAGCTCTTGTACTTTAGTTCTGCAAGATCTGACAGTGCGGAGAACAGGTGAAGGGACCTGACCCTCTCTGTCCCCCTCCACCCCACAATTATAGAATTGCTTTAAAATAAGACATTGAAAAAGTATAAAGCCCAAAATCAAGCAAAAGTTCTCGAAGGGGCTGATGCCAGTGGCCCAAGCCTGAAGCTAGAGCTTCCCAGGCTTGAGGGGAGACTGGCCCCTCATCAGTCTGCTGATTTTGGTCAAGAAAATCCCCAGCACCATCTGGACAAACAAACTTGCAAACCCAAGAGCCTACACTTTCAGGTAAGTGAGTCCTGAATTTTCTAATGTTTGGCTTTAAAAATTGAAAAATGCTGTGTGGGTTAAACAGAAGGATCTGGCCTCAGCCGTCCCTGGCTGATGTTCTCTGAGATCTTGTGAGCTCTGACACCTCTGGGTGCTGTCCAGTCCTGCCCTCTTCATCACAGATGCGGAAACTGAGGCACAAGGCAGCAAAGTGCCTTAGGCTGGGTCAGAGGGCAGGGCTCCCAAGGCAGGCCTGGAAGCAGAACCCATCCCCAGGTGGACAGTCCAGATGGGGACTGCAGAGGCCAGATTCTGCTGGACACCCAGGCCCTTCCCAGCCCCCACCCCACTTCCGCCCTGCCTGCTCTCTCCCCAGGAATCCCAGCCATCCCCGGGACCCGAGGGCCCAAGGGGCAGAAGGGAGATCCCGGCACGCCTGGCCATCCTGGGAAAAATGGCCCCATGGGAGCCCCTGGGATGCCAGGAAGCCCAGGGATCGGGGGCCCCCCCGGGCTGCCAGGTGATGGGGGCAGATACAAGCAGAAGCACCAGTCGGTGTTCACAGTCACTCGGCAGACAGAACAACATCCGGCAGCCAACGGCCTCGTCAGGTTTAACGCAGTCATCACCAACCCACAGGAGGATTATGATAGGGCTACAGGCAAGTTCACCTGCAAAGTGCCCGGCCTCTACTACTTCGTCTACCACACCTCGATGACCGACAACCTGTGCGTGCAGCTGTACCGCAGCGGCGTCAGGGTGACCACGTTCTGCGAGCACATGTCGCAGGGCAGCAAGCAGGGCAGCAAGCAGGTCACCTCGGGCGGCGCGCTAGTGCAGCTCCGGGAGGGGGAGCAGGTGTGGCTGGCCGTCAATGACTACAATGGCATGGTGGGCACCCAGGGCTCCGACAGCGTCTTCTCGGGCTTCCTGCTCTTCCCTGACTAGGGTGGGCAGCCTGCTGCAGCCCCAGGGCTGCCCCGCCTCCCTCGGCTTCCCACACCCTCGCTCAGCCCTTCTCCCCACCTGATGGACTCCTCCTCCAGGAAGCCCACCCTGACTTCTTGCCCCTCAAGTCCTCTCCCTGCTCTGCGCTCCTTCTGGAGTCAGTCACTGTTGCACCGTCCCTGTGACGCTTAACCGAACACTTCTGGGACTATTATTCATTTTTCTCAAGTTCGGAAAGAGGCGGGAAGATATATGAATAAATAGCTAGTTCAATACATATGCATGGTCCGGATTCCTCACTGCTGATGCCTTGAGTTTGGTACGTTCAGCTTTGAATCTGCTGTGGGTCATCTGTTGCTCTGGAATCAGGGCATCTTGGTGCTGGTGGTGATGCTCATCTGGCCTGGCGGAGAGAGGTGCTCAGTGGGGGGTGACAGCCTCCCCAGAGGTCCCCAAGGGGGAAAAGGCACCCAGGCTCACAGGTAGAGAGGAGTGCGCCTGAATTCCCAAAGGCAGGTGGAGTTTCCGGAGCAGCGGGCTCGCCAGGCGTTTGGGCTCAGTATGCGCAGGGCAGGCGCAGAGGAGGTGTGCAGGGCTGTGCTGAAGGAAGGAGGGTACCAGCGACTGCCTCAGTAGGTAAGTAAATGCTGGCGCAGAGCGTAAAGGAGCGAGTTTAAAATTTGCCGTACTTAACGTTTACTGAGCACCTACAATGAAGGTGCTGTGCCAAGTGCTTCAAACAGATTAACTCCTTCGGGTTCGTGATCAGGCTCCCAGATGGCTCTGAGTGGGTGGGGGAGGGCACATCTGCCCCTCAACTGTCTGGCTCACCTGGAATAACTGACAGGCTCTCGGCCCCGAGATATCACCTGCCGTTGCCGCTGCCTACGAGCCACCAGGTTGGCCCGTGAGCTGACCAAGGTGGGGCCCAGCTGCCGTTCTTGAGGATCGGAGAGGTCAGATGTGTAACCGTCTGGGGCAGCATCATGCAGGTCTAGGCCTATAGAGGGAGGCAGTGCTGGGGGGAATCTCAGCAAAGTGGCCGTAAGAGCCATGGCTCATGTGAGCTCTGCTTCCACCCTTGTCCGCTCCAACCTCCACGCCTTCATCCATGCTGTCCCCTCATCCTATGGAGCCCCAGCCCACCGACACAACTCTTTTACCTACCTGGTTGACACCCGTCCACCACCAGACGCTTCACCAAGACACCTCCTCCATGCAGCCACCCTTGATTTCCCCCTGGGTGCCCACAGCATCCTCTACAGACCTGGACCACGCATGCCTGACTCTTTCCTGCCCACGTCCTCCAGTCCGGTGGTGAATAAAAGGAACCTATAGACTTACTTAAAACAAAACAGATGAACAGAAGAAGATGTGCAAGCCCCATGCCATATTGCGGCAGTCTGGAGAAGGCAGGGCAGGGAGCGTGGGAGGGCTGCAGGGGATCAGATGCCTGCGGGCCGCTGAATGGCTCTCCGGCCTCCCTGGGGGGCTGTGAGCAGTGCTGAGCCCTGGTCCCTTTGCTGCACGCCCAACACATAGTAAGACCTCAAGACGTGTTAGATGAAAGGGACACACACACGTGCCCACACACACATGCACACACACACACACACACACACATGCACACACAGGGCTGGGGGCAGGGGCCCTGAACCCGGTCTAGCTCACTGAGCCTGGGTGCCTCTGTGGGGCCCAGCCCGGGTCACCAGGCGCTGCATCACACTGTCCCCGCTGTCAACCACTTAGTGGTCCGCCAGGCAATGCCGCAAGTGGTACATCTTTTTTCTCATTTCTCTTTTGTTTAAAAAATCAATATACCATTTATGTAGGCCAAGGTGTCAGAACAGAAACCTATGCTTTGGAAACAACAAGTTTTGTGCCATTTTTATTTTCCATAATTGTTTCCTTGTTGCTCTCTCTGTGTCAGGAGACGGCCTCGGGAAACGCTGCTCTCAGGGCCTGCTGGGCTGGGGGAGGGAGAGGGGGAGGGGATAGAGGAAACTGAGGTCAGCTTATGGGCCTGAGGCTGCGTGTTTAGACAGAGGCAGAGCCTCTCTCAACCATAGCAGTGGTTGAGTCCAAAGCCCAAGCTCTTACACCCCTGCTCTGCTGATTTCTTTTCTCAGCGTCGCTGCTTCTACCCCAAGTTCAAGTTGACCTTCCCCCACTGCCGTCAGCCAGCAGGAATCAGAGGTCCAGGCGCAGGTGGCCCTTGGTGCCCTACCATGTGCGCCTGGATCTGCAACCTCTCAGCTCCCCAGCTGCCTTTAGAACCCGCTGCCGGCTCCTCCTCGCCCCGGCCCGATCCTTCTGGCTGTGCAGCTGCTGAGCCCTGAGACCTTTGGGTTGTGTCACCCTCATCCTTTCCTTCCCTATCAGCCACCGCAGTGCACGCTTACTTTCCACCCACTGGCGTCTGCAAGCCCACCGTTCCCTTGTCCAACACAGAGGCCTCCTCGAGCTCCTGCGCTTGCCGCCTGAGCGTTGTCACACAACCTCAGACACAATCACACCCTGGGGCCCAGGGTGCCCAGCCGCAAGTCCTGCGTCTCCCCCGCCCCTACATGGGCTGCGCTCAGAAGTCACTGCTTCTCTGTGACATTTCTCTGTGACAGGAGCAAGACGCCTCGTGTCATTCGACGCCAGTGTTCCCCAGAAGCGAGGCTCCTCCGTGGGGTCAGGACCCACAGCTGGCTGCGGCGGGGCTCACTCTCCAGTCCCGGCACATCCAGGCAAAGCAGGAATATTTGCCAACTGATGGCTTAGCCCTATAGGCCCGTTTCCCTGCACATAAAATGAGGGGTTTGCCGGACGACCTCCACTCCCCTCTCCAGCCCTAACATGGTGTCATTTTAGGATCACGAGCAACAGGCGCCTGCCTGTAACCATTATTAGCACCAGCTCCATATCTTGCTGGAAGTGGAGGGAGCTGCATAAATAAATAATAAGCACATTTCAGTGCATTATTTGATTATTTTCAGAGAACAGGAAAAGAGCAGAGGTGCAGGACCGGAAGGAGCAGAAGAGTCCAGCAAGAGACAGCCTGGGACGAAAGTGACAGCAACAATTACCATATGCACGGTGCTTCGCGGTCTACCTCGCAGACTCTGTCTCCTCCATTATCCACCCATTATCCTCCCAGCGGCCTGTGCGGTCTGCAGAGCAGGTACAGTTATGGACCCATCAGATAGTGGAGGAAACGGGGCCTTCCTTGGGCTCCTTGGATGAGAACATTTAGCGGTAAGTAGCAGAGCCAGGATCTGATCAGGCTCTCTGGCTCTAAATCCAGCACTCAGGGACCAAGTGGCCGCTGTGTCATCCATTGGGGACCACCCTGTCCTCATGGAAGGTCACGAGCTCAGAGGGCCTGGCAGGCGAGCGGTCAGCTGTGGACATCCCCGGGGACAGCCTGTTCCCCTCCCAGCTGCTGAGTTGGCGAAACAAAGCCAGCCACTCGCCACCCCTTTTACTGTAACCTTCGTCCCGGGGCAGAAATGGGACCTGAAACTGCCTGAAGACAGCAGAATTGGGGGGCGATGGGGTGACAGGGAGGGGGTGCAGCCTGCTGGGTCCACGGGAGGGGACCGCCAAGGGAAAGCCCTTCCTGCCTCTGGGGAATGAATGTTCTGCTGTAGACGGGTAGCAGCGGCTCCTGGCCCTTGGTCCCAGCACTGCCAGGCATCACAGGACGCCGGGTTCCCAGGTGAGTGGGGGGGGCATGATATGGTGGAATGTGCCTGAGAGTAGGAGGCTACCCAGGGCCCAGAGGGTGTGGGATCAGCCTACGATGGGAGCCTCCAGCAGAAGGCCCTCCAGGTCCCACAGGAGCTCTGTCCAGCCCCTGTCTTTTATGAGCTGGTCATCTCCGGCAAGACGTCTGAACTTTCTGAGCCCTAGGCCCCTCTGGGGAGAACAGAGCATTTCAGGGTGCAGTTCCTGGCTGCAGACAGGTCTGGAGCAGAGGCAGAGGTGGGATGAACACCCATGTCCCCCCTACCCAGCCCCGAGATTCCCCAGCATCAGAAAATGTCTTGATTTGCAGGTGGAGTCAGAATTAGTGCTCAGTTAGTCCTGCACAAACTCAGGGACGTTTGTTGGAGGCAGAGGAGGGTGCTTGCTGCCTGAGGGCCCTCATTCCTTCTCGCACTATCTCATTTAATACTCCTGGGACCCTGGCAGCAGAAATTAACCTTGCCACAGAGGATCGGAGAGCTTAAGGTCATATAGCCAGGGGGCAGTGGATGGGGAGGTCAAGGTCAAGTTGGCTAAGTTCCAAGTGGGTGTGAAGGGACCGGAAGGGCTGGAAGGAGACAGACAGCGCAGGCATATAGGCTGGCAGAAGCAGATTGTCCAGCCAGGTGAGTTTTCGGTCATCCCCCAGGTCTGAGACTTGGTGGCCCCTGGGCTAGAGAGGGGATCTTCCTACCCAGCCCTTTTCTTCTTTCCCAAGAAGGCTGAGTCCTGCCCCGACCCTGCCCTCTCCCCAGTTGGAAGGAGCTCTCCACCCTGGGTCTCCCCTGCCAGAGACAGCCTGTCTCCCGAAGGGACCAGACCCCTTCCTCTCCTCCGATGGTCTTCCTTCCTGCTGCAAAACTCAGCAATTCTTGGATGAATGGGATGGCAATAAAATAGCAAAGATTCCTTAAGCTTTTCCAACATGCCAGGCTCTGTTGTAAGCTATAACTGATGATGGTGTGATTAGCATTACACCCATTTTACAGATGGGTAAACTGTGGCCAGTGAGAAGTGACTTTCCTGAGGCCCTTGGCTAAGAGGCAGCAGAGGCTGACTTGAATCCTAGCAGCATTGCTTTCAACATAAAAGTCCTGTCACCACCCAGTGACAGTTTTGCTGCCTAGCAACCTTCCCCGCCCCTGATGTGTGCCCACCACCCTTCTTAGCAACCCCCATGCAATCATCCTTCCATCCATCAGGGTGTCTGTGCCCAAAACCCATTTCTGAACTGCCAGGAACAGTGACCTCTTATCACTGATCCAGTGGACTTGGACTGAACCCAAGCCACATAGAAGTGGTGTGACCTGCATCAGCTTCTTGCCCTTTCTGAGCCCCAGTTTCCTCATCTGTCAATGAGAAAGCAAGGGTACTTCCTCCAAGGGCTGTTGTGAGAAGCCAACTGAATGAGCTAAGGGTGTTTAAAGCCTTTGGCCCTGAGCCTGGCCCCTGCCAAGTGCCCAACTTAGTAGAGCTGCTAACTTGTCATTTTGCAAACCCTCCGGTGAGAGTGAGAACTGATGCTTCCTCGGAGATAAGCAGGGTCGAGCCCCGAGCCAGCCGCTCAGCGGAGCACAACAGAGCCTAAGCCGTCGCGCTCGCCTTTACAATCGCCCGTCCTTGGAGCTCCGTGCAGAGAGGGCTGAGCAATGGACGATTAGGATTTGACTGACAGCCCAAGAGCCAGTTGCCAGCAGATTTTCTGCTCCCAGGGAGGTCAGTACAGTCAGCACGAAGCACAGAGGTCTGGCCAGATCCCCGCTGTCGACTAGCTCACTGGATGACGCTGGAGAGGTCGCTTTCTAGTTTTTGAGCCTCAGTTTCTTCATCTGCATAATGGGCAATGCATCACAACATGCTTTTGGGTGCGAGGAGAGTCACACAGCAGTAGCAGCAACACAGAGCCTAAATGACAGTGTGGAGCCTCAGGACTTCCCCAGCCGTGGTCCCACCTGGATCCCCAAAGTTACCCGCCAGGGGGCAGAACCCACTCAAACTCATATTTTAAGAACAGAAAACAGTTCAGCCAATGCACGGGGGCTTCGTGGAGGAAAAGGCTTTGACACAAGGCTTGAAGAATGGGGGAGCTGAAAGTGAAGGCAAAATGGGCTGCCCTCACAGGTACTGAAACAGGGCAAGCTATGGAAGGAAGAGCCTTTGCTTAGAACAGCCTGAAGGTTGTTCAGAGTTAAACATAGGATTGCATAAGACTGATCATTCTACTTCTAGATATACACCCCAAAGAATTAAAAACGGGAGCGCAAATAACTGCATGGGAATGGTCCCCGCATCACTAGTCATGAGGGCTGGGAGGTGGAAACTCCCCATGAAAGAATAGATAAACGGGGGCTGGGGATTTAGCTCAGCGACACAGCACCTGCCTGGCAAGCGCGAGGTCATGAGTTCGCTTCCTGGTACAGGAAAAAAAAAAAAAGAATGGATAAACACCTTGCAGTGCATCCACGCAGTGGAATATTATTCTGTCCTAAAAAGAGAAGACACAAGCTATAACACAGACGAACTTTTAAAAAAGGCCACTACATGAAAGAAGTCAGACACAAAAGGTCAAGTGCAGTATGATTCCAGTTCTATGAAACACGCGGACTAGATTAAGTCCCCAGAGACAAAGCAGCTGAGTGATGGCCAGGGGCCAGGGATGGGAGAGAGTAGGGGAACTGCCTCACAGCTGGGGCTTCGCTCTGAAAAAAATGTTTGAGAACTAGCCAGACACGATGGCTGCACACCATGGCGAACCATGGTGCATGTTGCCACAACAAAGTTTACCTAGTTAATTTAATGTTATGATAGGAATGTTGCTGGAATTTGAAGAAGGAGAAGGAGGGGAAGGAAGGGAGGAGGATGACGACGACGATGACGACAGCAGCAACGGCAACAGCAGCAAGCTGCTCCCAAGGAACAGAGCTGGCCTGTATGCTGCTGGCAGGGACACTGGCTCCATTCCTTCCTGTGGGACCCCGAGCAAGGGACTCCACCTCCCTGAACCTCAGCGTCCCCTTCAGCACGGAAATAACCGCAGTGGCCCACAGCATCACCATGCCTGGACAAGGAGGCTCTGGGGAATGAAAATTGGTGGAATGAAATCCAGCACTCACAGCAGCCCCATGGTCATGCAGTCTCCCCTCCTGTCACTTTGGTCCCTGTTAAGTCTCGGTGTCCCAACTGCTACCTCAGGACCTTCCCAGCTTGCTTTCCTCCTGGAACATTTCTGTCCTTGCCCTTTCCAAACTTTCAGGTCTCAGCCGAGACATCACTTGTGCCCTGAGGAGAGGAGCTTCCTTGGGCAGGGTGCTTCCCTCACAAAACTAGCCACCTCCCACCCCCAGCGCAGCCACTGTCCTTCAGGGCACGTTTCTCTTTTGGCCAGAGTCACAGTCTGTAACTATCTCTATTTACTTGTAGGACCTGTTTATCACGTTTCCCCATTAGGGGCTCAGGGACCACATCTGTCCTGTTTATCACTGTATCCCCAGAGCCTAGTTCAGGGTCTGGTGGATAAATGATGATCATTGAACATGGAATGGATGGATGGATGGATGGATGGATAATGGATGAGTGATGGATGGATGATGGATGGATGATGGATGGATGATAGATAGATGATGGATGGATGAATAGACGAATGAGTGGATGGATGAGTAGATGGATGAATGGGTGGATGGATGGATGGATGGACAAACAAAAGGATAGATTAATGAATGAATGAATGAATGATAGTCCCCAAAGTGCTAATCCTAATATCTCCCCCTGCAGGACGCAGCTGAGATAACGTGGCAATGAAGACTCCATGGGGCGATGTCTCAGTGCTGCTCCTTCTGCTGCTCTTAGCTCTGCTCCATGTCTCCTGGGCCCAGAGCAGCTGCGCTGGACACACAGCCATCCCTGGCATCCCAGGCATTCCTGGGATACCCGGCTCTGATGGCCAACCCGGAACCCCAGGAACAAAAGGAGAGAAAGGTAACGTAGGGACACACTAGTGCCACAGGCCAAGACCCCTGGCACCTTGAACCTCCCAAGTCACTGCCTTAGAGACTGCAAAAGCACTTGCTAATCTATTAACTTTTCCAAGAGGGGATTCTGGTTCCCATTTTACAGACAGAAAAACTGATGTCCAGAAAGGCTACTGACTTCCTCAAGTTAGTCCAGTGAGTTGAGGCCTAGAACCGACCACAGGTTCAGACAGGTACAGACAGACCACCACTGTGGTCCCATAGTCCTAAGCTTGTCTTTACTTCCTCAGTAGGTGGCTTCACCTTCCTGGATGACTTTTATGGGATTGAGGTGGGGTTCCAATGAGACTCCCCAGTAGGCAAAACCCTCTGTAAAACAGTGTTTATTCATTCATTTAACCTCCAATTTGGGAGCAGCCCTCTGTGCTGATCCCTCCTCACATAATCGCATATAATCCTCACAATCCCACAAAGTACCTTCATTTTACAGAGAGGAACTCCACACCTGACACAGCTAGATGCACACCTGCTGCCTCCAGAACCTACAGTCCCAGCCGCTGTCCTCTGCTGGTCTACCAGAAAAGAGGTTTTCTCTTGCCTCAGGCTAAACCAAGAGGATGTGGCTCCAAATGTGGAGTGGTAGAGTGAGAGGGCTCTAGATGCAGCTAGAATGTGTGCTGCAGTTGATTAAGGATGTCTGCCTTGGGCAAGGAGTGGAAGGAGTGGCACACGTGCTATAACTCATCATGCCTGATCTAGGCTTAAACTGAATGGGCACCCCAGGGGGATACCCACTTCCCTCCCCACGAGCATCCATCCCCATACCACAAGCATATTCCAGGCTTAGAAAGCTGGGCTGGAAGGAGACCCAGAAGCCCTTTTTGACACCTCCACATTTTTACAGGGGGAATCAGAGACCCAGACAGAAGCAGGGACCTGCCCGGTGTCCCATCCCAGGCTCTTTCTTTGGGCTTCAGTGGCTTCTGGTTTGCTTATCTCTCTTGCCTCTGTTTTTCCAGGGTCCCCAGGGCTAGCTGGAGACCACGGTGAGTTTGGCGAGAAGGGTGACCCAGGGATTCCCGGGAATCCAGGAAAAGTCGGCCCCAAGGGCCCTATTGGCCCTAGAGGTCTCCCTGGGATCCCTGGAATCCCTGGTCCCAAGGGTGAATCAGGAGACTACAAGGCCACACAGAAAGTGGCCTTCTCTGCCTTGAAGACCCTCAGCACTCCCATAAGACAAAGGCAAGCCATCCGCTTCGACAAAGTGATCATCAATGTGAACAACAGCTATGAGCCTCGCAACGGCAAGTTCACGTGCCCAGTGGCGGGTCTCTACTACTTCACCTACCACGCCAGCTCGCGCGGGAACCTGTGCGTGAACCTCATCCGGGGCCGGGAGCACCCGAAGAAAGTGGTCGCCTTCTGCGACTATGTCCGAAACACCTTCCAGGTCGCCACAGGCGGTGTGGTCCTCAAGCTGGAGAAGCAGGAGATGGTCTACCTAGAGGCCACCGCCCAGAGCTCCCTGCTGGGCATGGAGGGGGCCAACAGCATCTTCTCAGGTTTCCTCCTCTTCCCAGATGTGGATGTGTGACCTGCCAGGCTGAGTCATGGTCACATCCCTTCACAGCCACCCAAAGCCTCCCCGGCTGGCCACGCCCACTTTCCCCCCTGCTTGGCCAAGCACAGATGAGAGCTCTGTGGATGCTGAGTGATGAATGAATCAATAAACTCTTGGAAGCCAAAAGATAGTGTCTAGTTCAACTCTGGGTCCCAGCACCTGACACACAGTAGGTGCTCAGGAATTTAATGAATGACTAAACAATGAATGAATGAATAAATGAATGAATGACCTCTGGATGTAGAAATCCCATCTAACTGGGGGTGACTGGAAGGTCGGAGGGTCTGTGTCCTGCTCTGGGACAGTTATACAGTGGAAGGCAGGGACAGGGACTCTTACTGTGCTCCCAGCCTCAGTGAGACTCTTTTCCTATTCTCCTTAATCTTTACATTCCTCCTTGGAGACAGGTTGCTCTCCACTCAGTTTACAGAGGGGTAAACAGAGGACCTGAGGAATGAAGGGATTGTCTACAATCCCACAGGAGAGCTGGGATTCTCAGGCAGATCTGCCCACAGATGACCTCTTTGAAGGCAAAATGCCTGGGCCAACCCCCACCGGGACTTGGCACTTGGCGTTTCCTATTATCTCACCAAAAGATCAAGGGGTCCTGCTCCAAAGGACCTGGGAACAGCAGCCTTCCCCTTGGTTTTTCCCACATGCCCTTTCTCTCACTGTCTTCCCAGTCCAGCGCTCAGTCATCCAGTTAGAACAAATGCACCCCTCTGCTCAGAAACCTTGAGCAGCTCCCACTGCCTCCTGGCCGTAGGGTCCCAGCCCAAGAACCCAGCCTTCGGCCTCACTCCACCCTTCTGCCTCCCAGCAAGCCCCCCCTCCCTGCAGTGGCTTCCTTCCCCATTGCCCTTCCTCGAAGCCTTCCACCCTGCCCAGCCAAGCAGCCTTTAACACCTCATTCAGACCACACCTCCTCCCCGGATCCGCATCACCCCAGCACTCTCTCCTCCGACCGCCTCCAAACCCATTTCTCACTCGCTCAGGTCTCAGTCTGCGCGGCTGCATCTGGATTTTCACTTGCTCCCCTCCCCTCTCCCCAGCCCGGCGGCAGCTCCTGACCCTGCTCATCTCTGCGACCACTCAGAGCCTGAGATGCACAGAAAGCCCCTTGATAAGTCTCTGATCCCATGACACAGCTCCCTGGCAAGTCTTTCCTTGCTCATGGTCCCAAGGAGCCCTGGGGTGGACGGGCAAGCCGAGCGGCTCTCCACCTTTAGTGAGTGTCAGAATGAGCTCCCTGTGGTGCTGCTTTGGGACTGCACTTTAGGAGCCATCGCCCTCCTCCTACTGGACAGGGAGGGGTGCCACACAGGGGTCTGGGATTTAGATCCACTATGTTTAATTTGTATGTTTATGGTCCGGGCTCTCGGAGCAGCAGATTCTTTCTGCATTTGCCACTTCTGGACTCCAGGGCCAAATCCTGGCTTCTCCACTTTCACCCGCTTGCTCCTGCCCAGCAGGCCTTCCCAGGGGCCCCTCATGCTTGAACCGCTTCAGAAGAAGAAGGGAGGGAACAGGGCAAAGAAGAAGGAGGGTGGGGGTTTGCTAAGCGATAATGAACACAGCTCACGTGGCGCTGGGCTCCGCGGGCTTCGCGCCAATGCACATAACCATCGCGATCGTGTTGCCCTGTCACAGATTCGAGCGCAGAGGCACAGAGCAGTTAAGTGTCTTGCCCGATGTCACACAGGTAGGCATAGACTCCAGGTCAAAGGTGGGCACCTGGGTGCTACATTACAGCAAACAGGAAGTGCTCTGAGGGGCCATGCTTGGCACGTGGGATACCGGCTCTTGAGTCACACAGACCCACATTCAAATCCTGTGTAGGCTGCTTCCCAGCTGCGTGTCTACAGCCAAGCGCCTGGCCCTGCTCTCCCGTTTCATATCCCCTTATAAATAATGTGGCGCAGAGGTCCTGGCACGTATCCTCCATTCTTAGGTTAAATTCCTAGAAATGAACTCCGGAAATAAACGGATTGGAAACTTCAAAGACTTTGAGTGTGTTTTCCTGGGAAGCCCTGCACTGTCAGGGCTGAACGTGGCAGACCAGCTCTGGGCTCGCTGCCACCAGGGGGGAGTAGACTCCAGGAGAAGGTTGGCCTGGGAGAGGCCGGGGGGTCAGGTGGGACCTGGGAGCTTCTCCTTTCTCTCCCCTTGGGCAGCCCTTCCCACTTTCTGGGTGGGCTGTGAACTTCCAGGGTGGGGCTGAGGGTCAGCTTTGAAGCCTATGCTCTCCAGTGTGGTCCCTGCAACAGTGTCACCCGTGAAACTGTTAGAGCACAGACTCTCTGCCCCACCCCAGACCTGCCGAAGCAGGAAATCTGGGCAGGGGAAGCAGCCTGTGTTTAACAGGCCCTCGCATGTCTGAGAATCACCACTCCAGGGGCTACAGCACTCACCTACATGCACATAGGTTCTGGGTTCAATCCCCAGCACTGCAAAAAAGGAACAAAAACCCCAAAACGCAGCTTTGTGGCAGACACCTATAACCCCAGCTACTCAGGAGGCTGAGGCAGGAGGGTACAAGTTGAGGCCAATGTGGGCAACATAGCAAGACCCTGTCTCAAAATGAAAAGAGCTGGGAATATAGTTCAGTGGCATCCAACCATAGTACTTCAAAAACAAACAAGCAAACAAACAAACAAAACAAAACAAATCTTAAAAATTACAACTCTAGATCAAGGGCCACCAAACACTGTCTATCAAGACCCAAATAGGAAACATCCTGGGCTCTGCAAGCTATAGAATCAGTATGCCAACTATTCTTCTTCCTCTTCCTTCTCCTCCCTTCCATCCCTCCTCCTCCTCTTCTTCCTCTTCCTCTTCCTATCCTTCATATTCTTTTCTTCCTATACTGGGGATCAAACCCAGGGATACTCTACCACTGAGCTATGTCCTCATGAGGCTCCTTTTAGTTCTTATTTGAGACAGGTCTTACTAAGTTGCCCAGGCTGGCCTTGAACTCTCCCTCCTGCCTTAGCTTCCCCCATAGTGGGATGGCAGATGTGCACCATCTCGCCTGGCCTCAGCCTTCTTCTTAGAGCATGAACTAGCCATAAACAATGTACAGTCACACCCTCCCTCCACCATCCTGTCCACTCTTCTGCGTCTGGGGATTCAACCAGCTGGGGGTGTGTGGTGGATTAGCTAATGGTCAACTTGGAACGCCCAGCTGAACTGAATCAGTGCGGTGCTGGTGTGGAAGGCCCACCTGAGGATTGTTGCCAACAGCATAAAAGCAGAACAAGAGGGAAGGTGATTCTCCTGGAGAAGCTTGTCACACTGATTTTTCTGATATGAACTCAGCTGTTCTCATCATCGGAGGAGCACATTTCCTCACTGTCGCTGAGGATGGCTGTGGTTCTCTTCAAGGGAGCTCTGGTCCTTACTTTGAACATCACTTACTGGCTCCAGCAGAGATCCCTCAGCCTGCTAGCACAGATCCTTCATCCCACTGGCGCAGACTTTCTAGCTTCCACCACTGACCTTTGGGCCTTCCCAGTGCAGATCCTTGACACAGACTTGCATGAGACATTGGATGGGCTCTAGGTCTTCAGCTGGACTCCGTGCAGGACATTGCCACAGGATCCAGGCCCTCAGTTGGATTATTTGGGTCTCTAGTGTGTAGACAGATCTCCTGCCCTCTTCTGCATTTGACTTCTTGTATGAATATTATCAAATAATCCTATAAATTATGTGTTCTGCATTAAATCTATTCTTTTGCAAACCCTGACTCCAACAGGATGGAAAATATATGAAAAAAATGTGTTTCTATGGAGCGTGTACAGACATTTTTCCTTGTCACTGTACTCTAAATAATACCATCCAGCAACTATTTGCATGGTATATACCTTGTATGAGACATTTTAAGGAATCTGAAGATGGTTTAAAGTATAGAGAAGGATGTGCATAGCTTCTATGTAAACAAATTTTGGCCTGAAGGGCAGGGTCCTGGAACCAGTCCTTCCCTGGGACACCAAGGGACAGCCATACCAATAAATGAGAGTGACAATGTTCCCATACATCGTCATGGACACGGGAATTTGACTTTTACATATTTTTCACTTGCCCACAGAATATTTTCCTTTTTTTTTTTTCACTTATTGAAAAAGTGTGGAAAACGTTCTTAGCTCAAGGGCCAAACACAGATGGATATTAGGGCGAGATTGGCCACAGGCTGGAAGCTGCTGCCTGCTGAACACCCAGGAAGGGCTGCAGGGTTGGAGGAGAGGAGCCCAGAACTGCCCAACTGCCAAGCCAGTGCTCCTGAGCTCGTCCGCCATGGTCAGCCCTGGGGCACGGACAGGAAACCACACTGGGCTCAGTGAATTTGGCTGTGAAGTGGACGTGGCAATCCCTGCCCTGCACCATCTGAGAGAGACACGGGGCCTCCAGTGTCAATGGGCAATACAACCCCCTGGAAACTTGGACCCAGCCTCAGAGGTTCGCATTGCACGAGATGCAAACTAGGAGTCTGCACTTCTGTCAGTGCAAGCACCCCCAACTCAGCCCTGACCCAGTGGACTCAAAAGCTGGACCCAAGAGGCCAGTGGCTGTCTGAGGGTGCGGAAAAGGGAGACAGACTTCAGGTCCACAGCCACCTACACAAGGTAAGAGATGCAATAGAAGAAAGCCTGGGGGGTGCAAGAGCTAGAAGGACTATGAGCTCAAAGAGGCTGGGTTCAAATCCTATCCCTATAACTTACAAGCTGTGTGTTCTCAAGCTAATTACCTAACTTCTCTGAGCTATGATTTTCTTGTCTGGCATTTTGGAGCAATAATCACACCACCCCAAAAAGTTGAAGCTCAAATGGGATTCTGTATGAAAAGCTCCGGGACCCAGGAAGTCTCTGCTAGTATTAGCTGCACCCGCAGTGGTGAGCTGTTGCTGGAATTGGGGTGCTATAGTTGTGCAGAGCTCTTCCAACTTTAGTGTGTCCCCAAATCACTGGGGTCTTGCTAAAATGTGGATTCTAATTCTGTAGTTCTGGGATGGGGACCCGCAAATTTGCTTTCCTAAAAAGCTGCCGGGAGACAGGATGGTGCAGTAGCTGGACCAGGAGCAGTGGTGCAGCCTCGTGACCGCCTGTGAAACTGGACTCTCCATTCGTGGG